GCGGCCGAGCGGGGCGGGCGGAGTCGCGACGGGGTCTCCGTGCTCCCGGCAAAGTTCTTTACTCGCAATCGCTCCGGCCCTGCGGGCGCAGGAGGGGCCGCCCCGCCGGCGCTCCCGGCGCGGGGAGGGAGAAGGGCCCGCGCTCGCTGATGACCACAAATGTTAGCGGTGGGGCAGATGGATGCTAATCGCCAGAGCGCGTTCGTCCTCAGTAGTACGCCGCTGGCCGCGCTGCACAACATGGCCGAGATGAAGACCTCCCTCTTCCCCTACACCCTGCAGAACCCCTCCGGCTTCAAGGCACCGGCCCTGGGCGGACTCAACACGCAGCTCCCCTTGGGGACGCCGCACGGAATAAGCGACATCCTGGGGCGGCCGGTGGGCACCGCCAGCAACCTGCTGGGCGGGCTGCCCCGCATCAACGGACTGGCGGCTTCGGCGGGGATGTACTTCAACCCCGCCGCCGTCTCCCGGTACCCGAAGCCGCTGGCGGAGCTGCCGGGGAGGCCGCCCATCTTCTGGCCTGGAGTGGTGCAGGGATCGCCCTGGAGAGACCCCCGACTCGCCTGTCCCGGTAAGTGTGGCCGGTTCCGGCGGGGGCCGCGGGGCTCCCGAGGCGGGCGGCTGGGGCTGCGGCACGGCCCCTCCGGGCGCCGAGTGTCGCGCCGGGAGCCGGTGCGGCCCCGGACGGGCGGGCCGGTGCCGGTCACCTCGTCCCGCCGCGGCGGCCCGAGGTGTCCCTGGAGCCCTGCTCCCGAGCCAGCGGCGTCCCACGGCGGCGGACACCCGAAGTCGCCCCGCCACTCCTGCTCCTATCGCGGCGGCGGGCGGAGACCCGGTCCCGATCCGGGGCCGGTGCAGAGCCCGTCTCTGACGGTGCCGTTTCTCCTCCGCTTTCAGCTCAGACGGGAATGGTTTTGGACAAGGACGGCAAGAAGAAACACTCGCGACCGACTTTCTCTGGGCAGCAGATATTTGCTTTGGAGAAAACCTTCGAACAGACGAAATACCTGGCAGGACCGGAACGAGCCCGTCTCGCCTACTCCCTGGGGATGACCGAAAGCCAGGTGAAGGTAGGTCCCCGCGGGCCGGGCACGGACTCTCCCCGCCGCCGCCTCCCGCTTGCTCCAGGCAGCGCTGAGACGCAATTTGCAATAATTATCAGTGGCCGCTGAAACTGTACAACCGTACAGGGCGTACAGGGTTTTTTGGGTTTTTTTTAAGTTAACTAATTTTAAATTACGTTGGGATATTGGATGGATCGTAGGTCAATTTCTATGCAAGTTATTTTTTTTGTTTAGAGTTTTTTGTGTTGCAAACGATTTAAGAAAAATATATATAATATATTAAAACCAAACCAAAATACCCCAAAGTAAAAAGTCCCTCCAGGTAATTGCTTTCAGCGTGTCCATTTCCAGCCAAGACCGTGTCCGGTAATTGGCACAACTTTACCTGGCATAACTACGCAAATATTTTAGCAAAGGCTAAGGCGGCACACCGCGGTGTTGAAGGCCACGGGGAGCCAGCAACACTTGTTTTTCTGGCCACTGTATTCCGTTTTCAAGAGATGATTGTTCCGCAAAACTGCGGGTTTTGCTGGTGCACAGCTTTGGCTGTTGCCATTCCCGGGAGAGCCGGGTGGGTGACCCACGCATGTCGCCGCAAGTCCCCCTCCCCGCTGCCCCCCGGGATCCCGCGGCTTTGTCACTCCCCCTTTCCCTGTGCGGGCCGCTCCGCCGGCGCTCCTGGACCCCGCGCGGGGGAGGAGGGCCGGCGGCGGCCCGGTGCCGGTGCCGCCGTCGGGGGACTTGGGGGGGCAGCGGCCGGCGGCAGGGCTGAGCCGTGTCTGATTCTGGTGCCCAGGTCTGGTTCCAGAACAGACGGACCAAGTGGCGGAAGCGGCACGCGGCAGAGATGGCCTCGGCAAAAAAGAAGCACGACTCGGAGACGGAGAAGCTGAAGGAGAGCTCGGACAATGAGGATGATGACGAATACAACAAGCCCCTGGACCCCAACTCAGACGACGAAAAAATCACGAGGCTATTGAAAAAGCACAAATCCACGAACCTGTCCCTCGTCAGCCCCTGCAGCACCAGCTCGGACACCTTGTGAGGGTGCGGGCACTGACAGCCGCTCCCAGCCGCCGCAGTGGGTGACGGAGATGAATAGTACCTGGATGTTTAAAGTGGTGTGTTGTACAGACTAAGATGTATGTGAAATGTATATATTTTTTACAGAATAAGTTATGAAATTATTTTCTTTCTCATCGATGTATATTTCAGAGGAATTTTTCCAACTTCTTGGTTTTTGTTTTGTGACCTTTAAGGTTTGCCTCTCTTTTAGCCTTCTTGCTGATTTCCTGCTCCTAACAATCAGATTTTGTTACATTTTGTATGGATCGCCAAATCCAAGCTCAGCCAGTTTGTATATAGTAAATTTCAGATTTTGTGATGTATATTTCTAGTGTAAAAAAAAAAAAACGGCTGTTTTCTTTCACCCCCTCCCTCTATTCAGTGTTTTGGCAGTTAGATTTCTCCTGCCTCTGGATTTTATGCTTAATAATATCAAAACAGAAAAAAAAAACCACGAGAGAAAAACAGACACTTAATTTTACCTTGGGATCAATTAATGTCTCCACACGGGTTGGAAAGACTTTGTATAAATCAATAAATTATTTAACAAGCTTCTCCTTTAGCGAGTTTTTTCTCGCATTACTCGTTTTCGTTACTCACCCGGGGAGGGCGGGCGGTAGCCGTGCCCGTCGCGGGGACATTTTTGCCACTCCGGAGGACTCGAATGTTTGGGTCGCCCTCGACCGGCGCCTGCCCTCGCCTCGCCCCAGACGCTTCCCGCGGCCCGACCTACCGCCTCCGCCGCTCCCCGCGCCGGGCGGCCCGGTCGCCCCCGCCCCGCAGCCCTGGTGCCCGCCGCGCCGTTCGGCGCCTGCAGGCGGTGCCCGGCCCCGCCGCCGCTCCGGAGGGGAAAAGGAGCCGCGGCGTCGGCGGGGAGAGCGGCGGAGGGTGGCGGGGGGCGGCCGGCGCGACGGCCCCGCCGGGAGCCGGTCTCGCTGCTGCACGGAAACCCGCCAACCGGGACCCAACAGGGAAGAGGAGCCGACAAGAGCTGGACGGGGCCGAACGTCCAGCCTTAAACCTGCTGGGATCTCACCGGTTCCTGGCACGGAAAAGCGTTTCGTTGGCCGCTGGCGGGTTTATGTGCTCCGCTGCGGGCAGCGGGAGGCAGCGGCTGGGGCTGGGGCTCGTCCCAGACACTGGCCGCGGTAAAACCCCCGAAGGCGAACTCTCTGAGCTCAGCGGCGGGGGGCTACCAGCCCCCTCCCTCACGCCCCCCTTCACCTTCCCGTTGAGCTCCGAGGAACGCGACTCTCGTCCCGCACGAACGGCACCGGAGTCCCCGCACCGGCGGGTTGGGTTTGCGACCTGCCCGTAACAAGTCCCAGGTAATTAAGCAGCTGTTGAGGCGTCTGGCAGGCGCCCCACGTGCTGCTCCTCAGGTGCGGAGCGGCGGGATGGGGCAACCGCGGCATCGCAGGTGCTCCGGCCGTTCGGAGCTACCGGTACCGGGCCTCGGAACGGCCGCGCTGCCGCCACTCACTGAAAGCAGTGGGTTGGAGAGACCTCGCTCGACTTGTACCACGGTTACAGGCGGAGTAAATCAAGTTTAGAAATTAATCTTCGCCTTTGAACACCCTGAGCGGGGACGCAGCGAAGAACCGGAGCCGGTTTCCTGGCTCCTAAGGGAAAATTATAGGATTAAAAAAAATATATATATATATACCCGCACTTGAAAGTCGGATTATTCACACCTGCTCCTTTCCAAATTTCTTTAAATGAAACGTGCCCCAAGGAACTCGCAAATCTGTGTTTGGTGACGAGTACTCTCTTTACGGAGCAAGGCGGCTCCGTGAAGCGCCCGGCGGAGCCCGCAACGACCGACGGCTGCGGCAGCGGCGGCTCCGCCGGGAGTCGGGCCCTTCCCCGCCGGCCTCTCCAGCGCTCTCCAGCTGGGAATGCCATCTGGGAACACCCCCGCAGCCTGGCTTACCCCGCACCTTCCCCAGATAACGCCTCTGTTTCGTTGTTTCGGCTTTTTTTTTGGTCTTGTTTTGTTTTTTGTTTTGTTTTGCTTTAAGTGCTAAAGTTGTGTTTTATGACTTTCTGCGGGTTACATTTCAGCCAATTCCAACAATTTACCTTGACAGGTCACCTGTGTAACTAACGCCCCTTGATGGATTAAGACTATTAATGGTGTTGCAGTTTATAGCCCTGTTGAGTTTATCTGTAAATGAGGCTTCAGTCTGAGTTTGAAAAGGCAGTAGTTTTTTTCTAAAACCAGGAATAATCAGGATAATCAGGAAGGAGTTTATGGTGGCATATTTATTGAACTGCTGGGGACCGGCATTTCATGACTAGCTCATAAAGTTGTATTACTCTCTTACATTAGCACTCTTACTCCGATACAAACTCTAAATGCCTTTTCCTCCGTTTGTGTTGTGTTTTGATTAACATTAGCACTGCATTCTATTATACTGGTTTTCATGCAAAAAATTGGCAGGAGATTAAAAGGTAACTAATAAAAAGTGTGACAATTTAATAATTTCCCTGTAATCCCCAATGCCCAAATTAAAGGGACAGACACAGCCATATTCACCATGATCAGTTTTATTGCTTGAGAACCAGAGTACTCATTTCTAAAGGCCTTCAAAGTTATCATGAGTTGAGTTCGCTTAAATAGAATTACTGTGTGGTTATAATGCAACATGGCACGATAACAATACAGAGCTGCAGACACCCTTTGGGCAACAGTACTTAATATAAACCCAGGTTGTACTGTTGAGAAAACATTCTGCAAGCAGACATCAAATAATTTTCAATGGTAGTGATTTATACCAAAATCAAGCATCAATCTAATGCCATCACGCAGTCCATGAACTCTGTAGTGTTCTAAATTAAATCAATAAAACATACATTTGTGTTTCATCAATAGACTCCCTAATCACCTTTTAATGTTGTATTTAGTAGTGGGAGAAAAATGTTCGTAACAGGATTAAGCTGTAGGCTGCACTGAGCTACTAACCAGGAAAATTTACAGTCTTTTTTTTTTCTTTAACACTGTATAAATACAGTCCGTGTCCAATACAGTTGCTACTTGAAGCAGACTAATATTTTCTTCTCCCATATTGTTATTGTTTCAATATAGAATACTTGGCACCATAAAACAGTAACAAAAGACGGACAAAAACAGTTTACAAAATTCTGGAAAGTTACACCCAAACCTAGCTAAGAACTTCACATTCAATCCTTAATATTACATAGAAAGAAGGGATTATAGGAGTAACAAAGTGAAACTGCTAATATATGTGCTATATAGTATGCTATATATCTGTATCCAGGATGGCACTGCTATATATCATTTATTATATAAATGTTGGTTGTTGATGTACACTTAACTAAACCTGCTAAGACTCCAACACTGCTGATATGGCACTCTCAAGCATTCATATTGGAAAGTATATTTAGCGTAAGTTTTGGTCAGGTTTATAAATTATTTATATATCTGTGTATATATACACATACATACATATATATACACACACATATATATGTATGTATAGAAAGCAGCTGCTGTGTGATTCAAAAACCATGTAACATGGCAGTATAGTAAATAACATGAGAAAAAAAATATAAAAATGAGAAACAAAATACTAAAACTAAAACACAAACCATAAGCCTTGGTCAACAAAGAAAATACCATTTAAAACCATCAATATCTCTATCTATACAATCCAATGTACAAAACCCCAAAGTGGTAAAGATATATAATGTTAGGCATGACACCTTTAAAAGTTTATCATATGCTGAAATAGCTTTTCCACATTGACAAACATTTATTAAAATTGAAAGTTGTGAAATCTAAAATACATAACTCTGCTGTCTATTTAGAGTTTTGGCAACAGAATTGTGACATATATATAAAAAATAATTCCACATTTCTACTTGATGTCACATGAACATACAAGACAGTGAGGTATGTGAGGCTTTTCTCAAACAGAGTCCAGATGCTGAAGCATAGTGTACGATCAGCAGTCTAAAATTGTGGCACTCGGGACTTTATTTATCAATACAGTTGTTACGATTAGGTTTTTCAGTTACTGCGCGTTCCTTCCCCTCCTTGCTACAGTGTGGTTTCACGGAAAATCTTCTCATTTCGTAGGCATCTTTTTCCTGTTGCAGAATTGGCATTTTTTTAAAAAGAAAAATAAACACAGGGGAAATGATGTAGAAAATGTAAACGTAAAGGAAAAAAATGATATTTACCACCACATCACTGCACGACACAACACTTGTGCACATTTGCAATAGGTTTACCTGCCCCAGCAGCTATTCGAAAGGACAGGAACACAGGCTGCAGCAAGTTAGGGAAAAATAGAAGTTACACATTTGAAATATAAACATTTTTTTCTTACAGTCAGTAGTAAACACAACAAAAATTCCACGACTGGAAACAAAATGATGCAATGATTTTTTTGATTACTCTAACTACAAAATGCTCAAGAGAATGACATCAGCTCCCTACAGATCTCTGCTCCCCCTGGAATCTGAGGGAAAATTTGCCACTGATTTTTGTGGGAAGGGGATTGGTTTCCCCCCATGACTCCCTTTTATCACAGAATTAGCTCCACTGAAAGTGCCACGCTAAAAACATTCACAGTGACAAAGGAAACAAAAATTACTGTTTCTGAACTGGCTTCCTTCAGCTGCCACCATCCCAAACTTCTCATTTTACCAGAGAAGATAGTAAACTTCTGTAATTTAAAATCTGACTTCGATGATTTCAGACCAAATATCTTATGCTTCTTCCTTAGAAAAACAATACTCTGTCCCACACGAACTCTGACCATGAATGTAAATACAGGCACAAGTTTGTGTTTAGATGTATACACGCACACATGTGTAATTACCCACTGTCCATCACTGAATTGTCACTTAGGACCCTCAGCACTCTCTGGGACTGGCACAAGTTTTTGCAGGATTCTAGCTGAGTTTTTATATAGGTTCTATGTAATTTTTTATACAGGCTTTCAGAGGTTACCTCCTACTCCTTGATCAGCTTTTTTTTTTTTTTTTCAAAGAAATCAAATACTCAGTTTTGCTGTATTTCTAATTTAGCTTTCCTCCTGGTATCTTCAGCAGAGAAGATTGTTTATAAAATTCATGCCTTTTTCTTCACTTCAGTAACTAATTTTACATTCTTTTTCTCACTTGTTACTTAAATATGGAACTGCCAATATGTGCTTTTACTAATATGCAGCTAGGCACGAAATTAATTGAAACTATGTTTTGGAAGTAATTTTGATAACCCAATGAAAATACTTCTGTTTTAAAAAGAATAGTTGTAAGTGCACAGACAGTTGCAGGTTGTACCATGCTTTCATTCTAGTGCACATCGTCCCGTTCTTTATTTGATTTCATACAAGTACCTACTCAAGTATCCTGGCTGATTTTAGTTAAATTCAACTTTAAGACATTTTTGAGTATTTATATTAAAACTAAGACAGTGATATAGTTGAATTAAATATAAAATTAACAGAAATTAGTGTACATACTCTTATTCCTAATAAAAAAGACTTAGAAGATACAATACTAAAATGTTTAATTTAATT